AAGCTCACTCTCCCTCACTTGGATGAACACTTCTGTTTGGAAAGAAGGCAACCACAGGGTGTAAGTCTGGCCAGTTTCTCATAACATCGTCCTAAGTTAGGCCCTTGCCCCAGGGTGGACATCATGGGTCCTGGAGAGGTAGAAAGAGATGATTCTTCTCTTAGGAAGGGTCACTGCCTTTGGTGCATGGTTTTAGTGGCCCACCCGTGACCTCAGTCTGGGTTAGAACTATTGCTCAAAGGAAATGTGGAATAGCTAAGAATTTCTGTTGCCTTTCCTTAACGCTCTTGCTACCTCCTGAGTGGTGTTGGTTTAGCAAGACACTGCACAAAGATAGCTAGCGGCATTTCTGGCTGGGACTTATTTAAGTGCAGTTAAGTGAGCCCATTGTCCATTCTCTGTCATGGCTCTGTTTTTATTTACTTCTCCAGTAAATGTGAGGACTTCTTAATTCATACGGACCACCTACACACTTCACTGGTGATGGAGACTCCTGCCCTGGAGGATGCTCCTTAAGGTTGGAGGAGTGGTGGCCTCATGTTGCATTCAAAGCGCTACTGCCCCGTTGGCCCCAGTCCACTGCCCCAGGGCTCAGTCTGCACTCACCACATGGTTTGCTCAACATTCTGTGCACAGCTTTTCCCTTCCCATTTTCTTACCGGCTGGATCCTAGCGCCTTTGCTCCTGTTGGGGGCTGCCCTTTTCCTTTAGGCCCATTTCTCTTGTCTTTAGGGTCCAACTCAAGTCCTGTCTACCACGTCATTCCAGCCCTTGGGGCGCTCTCTTAGAACTGCACATGCATTATCACCCTTAGGCTGTGGAATACAGAACAATCCGAAAACACGAGGGGGTATGAAGGGGCTTCAAAAAGTTTGTGGAAAAATTCTCTTGTCTTTCTGTGCCATTTTACCATGAGTTTTGGGAAGCCTCTTGTATTTGTTCTTTTAAAAAAAATCATGTTATTGGGAGCTCGTACAGTTCTGACCACAATCCATACAAACGTGTCAAGCACGTTTGTACATTTGTTGCCATCATCATGTTCAAAACATTTGCTTTCTACTTGAGCCCTTAATATCAGCTCCTAATTTTTTCCCCTCCCTTCTGCTCCCTGTCCCTCATGAACCCTTGATAATTTATAAATTATTTTGTCATATCTTACAGTGTCTGACGTCTCCCTTCACTCACTTTTCTGTTGTCCATCCTGCAGGGAGGAGGTTATATGTAGATCCTTATAATCGGTTCCCCTATTCTTTTTTTTAGAAAATCGTTTTATTGGGGGCTCGTACAACTCTTATCACAAGCCATACATCCATCAA